GCAAAAATATTAAAATGTCTAAAACACCATTAAAAAATAAGAAAAAACATGGAAAACAATAAAATTAAATTAAATTGAAATATGTAATCCGTAAGGAAGAGTTTCAATCAGACACAATATTGTAAAAATTTTAGGTTTTTGCTCAGTACTAATTGATATTTTTGTATTTGTAAAATGTAAAAGAAAGTTTCCTAAATTGATAAGAAACAATTTAAACTTTCTTCTGAGTGCAAACATATTTTTTCTGAAACTGCTGCGCAAATACGCAAAATCATCAACAAAAGTAAAAAACAATAAAGTTTATTATTCCTTGTCCGTTTGTGTAAATATCTGTAGAGTTTTCATCAAGTTGGAAACCTACAAAGAAAAGAATAAACAAGACTCCGGGAAAATCTCTGCTGCTGTTTAATCACAGTTTTTGAGATCAAAGCGAGCTAAACACGCTTTTAAACGCGTTTTTATTTTTTCCTTCCTTACAAGAGAATCCTCTTGAAGGGTCCGTCGCAAGCGGCAATACATCTGCATAAAGCCCATTGTGCAAATGACAAAATCACATTCTGCTGCTATTCAAAGCATTTAATAAGAAAAGCAKCCATATCAAAGCCAACACAAAGCTCGACGACAATGAACAAGACTGGGAGATTTCCTCTAAAATTATCGCGCTTTGATCGAGAGGATCTATTTTGAAAATAACCGATAGCCTATTATAAATTCATAGAAATGAAAAGCGTTGGCGTGTATACGAATTTAGACTAACCCAATTATGAATAGTGTGACAAAGGCGATGCCACTACACAGAGTCCAGACGAATCGAACTGGAAAACTGGAAAGCACCTGGAAACATCGCATTAGAAACGGATTTTGCACTCACGGCGGCGCTCATCGACAAGGATTTTTATTTACAAGACAGGTGCAGCGAAACGAGAAAAACAACGCTTGTTGAGAGGAGTTTTTAAGACGAAATGTTCAAATATTAGGCACCCAAACAGACGAAAGATAAATCCAAACACTTTTTACCTTGGTCAATAAAATGTTTTAAAAAAATGCCCCACTATACAAATTTGATTTACTTTACAAGTAAGAGTTTCTATAATATTGCAAGTGTSATTAAATTTTAAGTTAAGTATTAGTATTATTATTAAAATGTAATTTTTTTGGTGGTGTTGAAGAGTTAAAAGAAGCACAATTGATTTTCTGGTAACGTTTTGGAATGTTTTATTCCCTCGTCAGACCGTCAATTAAGGCATAAAGTCTATGAGTAATAAATTACGTATTTCAATTTAATAATTGTTTATAACAATTTACAAAGTAAATTTTTAAAGGCGATTTTACATTTTATACCGGACGTTCAAAAAGTGACAATTAACTTAATGAAATGTGGTAGAGAAATGGTTACATACATACAGGGTGTGCCAGAATTTGCATCCCAAAGAAAAATGCCCCATGTAAGGTGAGATACCAAGAATATGGAAAACATGTTAAAAAAAATTATCTATAAAAACTGGAAGTTATGAGAGTTTAAATTTAGCACTTTGACTATTTATTTCTGTTCGAAAAATAGTTTTCCAAGTTTTTTTGCTACAGGCTATTAGAAGAGGAAACAATGAAGCTGTGTCCTAAATTGTAACTCTGTTTAATGTTATTTGTGGCTTTTATTGTCAAAATTTTTGTACCTGTACTAATAAATTATAAAAAAAACTTATACAAGATCATCATGATACTGATAGACAAAAAAAAATGTAAAATTTTTTTGACAGAATTTTTTAAATATTTTTTCCATGTTCCTGGTATCTTCTCTTACTTAAAAATTTTCTCTGGGTCGCAAGTTTTGACACACCTAAGATTTATTCTAAATTCTAAAATCTACAAGATTTTTTTATGAAACTACTGGAATTCAAAAATTCTTTTTGAATTACTGGATGTGCGGGATTTCTGTATAGTATAATGAACTACTTTAGTTATAATTTTGGGAAAAAGTTAATAGACATAATAACAATATAGTGAATAACACTGATGAATTAATTCTAATACGAAACTTTCTACGTAATAATAAAAATATGTATTTAATTTAATTAGATGAGGCAGAAGTCTGGAACTCCCACCTCTTTCTGGAAAAACTTAACAAAATAAAAAAATGCTTTACACTTCGAACTATGTGTATGTGACTTCGAAACTTTATTCTCAACTTTTACATAAATGAGGATACCTAATGTTTAAAATTCGTAACTTCTAGCGCCACCTAGTAAACTAAGAATGAACCTGTAAGCTACACTTGAGTCGTAAACAGATTTGCCGAAAGAAATAAAATTTTGCCAAAGCCACAAATAATAACATTAAACAGAGTTACAATTTAAGATACAGCCTCCTTGTTTCTTTTTCTGATAACCTGTAGCAAAAAAACTTGGAAAATTATTTTTCCAACAGAAATAAATATTCAAAGTGCAAAATTTAAACTCTCATAACTTAATTTTTAAAGATAGAATTTTTTAAACATTTTTTCCATGTTCCTTGTATTTTATCTTACAAGGCATTTTTCACGGTGCGCCAGTTCTGGCGCCTGTATATTGCATAATACGATTACTAAAAGTAAAATAAAAAAAAACTTGGGAAAATAATGTAAACTAAAGAACTTAAGAAATTAAGTTTGTAGTTTCATATTTTGTAAAATATAACCTAGAATTTTTTTAACGTTTTTCTTGTAACAATGGACTTTTAAGTAGGTGTACCAATTTTTGAGCCGCCTGTATAATAATTGCCCGATTATTAAAAATCCAAAACTCAGAACAAAGAGTTATGGTTGAACATAATTTTAGATGATGCAATAGATTAGTATCTATCAATGTCCTATACAATTTTTTTAAAATTTTACCATTTAAAGGTCACTAATGGACTTTATCAACTCGCTGTATGTCGAGAGATCAAGATAATTTGTAATCGAGTCATCGTTGGATCCGAAAACGTATGTCTGTGAAACGTCAAATAAAATGTCAAGTCGAAAGGTAAAATAGCATAATCAAAAAAATTATAATTTTAATAACTAAATTTATGATTTAACTTCAAAAAAGAAAGCTCCTAATTCCTATTATTATATGTCGGCGACTAATTTCAGCCCATTTTGCCATTTTACTTTTCGACTTGTCATTTTATTTGACGTTTTATGGGTAGTTAGTTTAAAAACAGACATACGTTTTTAGATCCAAAGATGACTCGATTACAAATTATCTTGATTGCTGGATACTTAAGATATACCAGGTGAATAAAAAGTATGGAACCAAGCGTTATTTCGTAAACTAAGCACTTTACGGAAAAAATAATTAGTATAGCGTAAAGTACAATTGAAATGTGACCATTTATCAAGAATAACATTTTTCGAAATTTCTTTTAGTTTTCGAGTTCTGGAAAAATTTTTTATTTAAATGGCAACCCACCATGGTAATTTTTTAATTAAAGATTATGATCTAAAAATGACCTCTAATTAAATAAAATTCTTTTTTAGCCAGTACTTTTTTTTGAATTAATTGTTAAAGTTGCGTTCCGAGCTCATCACGAAGATTTTCCGAAGTGGTTGTTTCATGCTTTTCATCATGGGAGAGCGCTGATTTCTATGCAGAGGTGCTTTGGGGTGGTTTCGAATGGACTAAAAATAGAAGAAAATGATTTGTTTTTACATTTTTTGATCCATCCGAAACCACCCCAAAGCACCTGCACCAAAAACCGGGCTCTCCAACGACCAAAGTCATGAAACGATCTCCTCGTTCAAGTTCGGAAAATCTTGGTGATGGGCTCGGAACGCAACTTTAACAATTTATTAAAAAAAAAGTACTGACTAAAAAACAATTCTGTTTAATTAGAGGTCATTTTTAGATCATAATCTTTAATTAAAAAAATTACCATAGTGGGTTGCCATTTAAAATTTTTTTTTTCCAGAACTCGAAAACTAAAAGAAATTTCGAAAAATGTTATACTCGATAGATGGTCACATTTTAATTGTACTTTACGCTACACCAATTATTTTTTTCGTAAAGTGCTTAGTTTACGAAAAAAACGCTTGGTTCCATACTTTTTATTCACCTGGTATGTACATACATAAGAGCGAGCGTAAAACATACGTTATAATAAAGTTTCACTTGATGGCAAATCTACTATTTTGAAAACAAACTTTCAGTTTCAAAAAACTAAAAAAAATTACATAATAGTATTAACTAATAATAGTAATTATTTACCTATTCATAAACACTAAAAATCTATTGACTGTTTGCCAATAATAAATATTTGAAAAATGTTCACGTCGACACGCAATAATAATAAAATTCCAGTTTGGTTGTTTAAATGACCGTAATATCCATTATTTCGCGTTTATTACAAAGAATCGCTAATATTGACAATCATTAAACAACCAATAAATCACAAACTGTGGCAAGCAGTAAAACGTCCGGTCCACGTCCTTTTTTCCTGTCAATTTATACGACTTTGCATTTTGCAAGCTCATAAATTTTAATAAAGCTCGAATTCCTGTCGAGCATCGTATCGAAACCCTCGTGGCACACTGGAATAAATTTAAAAAAAACCGAAGACAAATCGATCGTCCAGCACCCAATGAACATAAATATTTCCCATTAAAAATGTAATCGGTGACGTCGCAAGGACTCTCTTCCTCGAAAGCTCCGTGGAAGCTTTCAACTTCGTCCTTTATCGCAATGGTGGCGTAATTTGCCGAATGACAGGTGGTTTGCAAGTTCGAAACGCGAGCTAAACGAACGGTCCAAGCTAGTATCAGTGCCAGAATTCACCTGACGCAGTTTAGGTGCTCTTGGCGAAACTAAATCGATAAAGACGCGGCGGTCGTGCTTCACACTCGATGATTTGCTGCCGAGGGGTATAGATTTTCCGACTGCTTTTTAGCTTTTTATTTATGCTGAAACGGGGAAATTTGGGGGCAAAGACGTCCGAAAAGACATAGGGGAGAAATTAGACTTTATTTTGTGTTGGTGGTTTGGGACACGTGTCTCGGAGTTTTTTCGTTTAAAAAATAATTCGACTGAGCAAAATTTGGGCTTTGATAAGCAAAAAAATGATTTTTAATCAGTCGCCCTATACGTAGGTAAGTATACATAAGTAGCTATTTTTTTATACATTTTTAATTAATTAGAACATTGGAAATATTGAATTTCAAAAAAAAAAATGTATTTTTGCACAATTCCTGGAAATTTATCGTATAATATAGTTGTTTCAATTTTGTTTGGCCGACTTTTCGAAAAGCACATTTCTCATAAAATAATAATGATTATAAAATCATGTTGACAACCCTGAAAAGGGTATAACATCGACAAAAATTTGAAATTTGGTGTTTTATATCTTCCATCTCTAGGTTTAAGATTTTATTTTTTTTGGTGATTGAATTTTTTTGAAGTTGAAAGTTTGTATATTTTTTCTCTTATAGATATTTACAAGAATGTATAATTACCGCTTTAAAATATGTGCATTTGCATATTTCAACATAGTTTTTATACAATTAATTTTATACAGGGTGAATATAAAGTATGGAACCAAGCGGTTTTTTTTAATCATTTGCCTTTAGAAAATAATAATTAATATAAATTAAATTAATATAAAAAATGTGATCGTTTTTGAGAATGAAATTTTGATTTGTTTTTGAGTTATGCAATTTTTTCATCACATTTTTATAGTACTTTATTACTCACCATTTAGTTTTTTCAAAAAATAAATAGTTTAAGCAAAAAACGTTTGGTTCCATACTTTTTATTCACCTGGTATATTCAACCAAGTTTAAATTATTGGACTAAAAATCAACTTGAAAAAATGTTGGAAAAAAAAAGAATTTTTACTAAATTTATAACGTATTTTTTTGATTCTCAAATTTCTTTTAACTAACAATTTTTTTTCTTGGCATATACACGCCGAACAAAAAGTATATAGAATCAAACGTTTTTTTAAATCATTTGTCCTCACAAAATAATAATTAAGAAAAATTAAAGTGCTATAAAAAATGTTATCGTGTTTTGAGAATGAAATTTTCTTTTGTTTTTGAGTTTTGAAAATTCTTTTCGATAAAAATTAAATAAAATGTGTAGATAGTTGTAATCCTTAGATTGTAAAAAAATATTTTATACAAAGTTGCCATTTGAAAAAAAAGATAAAATTTTGCAGAACTCAAAAAAATAAAAAAAAATCGAAAAATTTTGTTTATGAGAAACGTCAAATTTTTTTAGTAAATATGTACTTTATTATTCATCTATTAGTTTTTCTAAAAATAAATAGTCTATTAAGCATTGACTACTTTCTGTTTAGGTTTGTATTATTTTTTAAATTAAACTAAAATAAAAAAAATCGTAATTGCAAAAACTTTTCTTTCTGCTACTTATGTGTTGAAATAATTGATAAAATGACAAATGAATGATGCATTGATGATATTAATAAATTAATAAAATTTGAACACAAAAACTAAAAAAATTAAACATTTTTTAGAACGTTTTCAAAGAAATTTGAAATTTATTGGCTAAATAACACTACTACCAACTTCATAAAAAAAGATCTTTAATTATTTTTTTTAAATAAGTACCTGACTGAAATTAAAAAAAACAATTAAAGACCAAAAAAATCATCGGAAATATTCCTATTTTTTAACTGTGAAATCGTAACGTAAAAATAGCAAAATTTTTGCTATGGTCCTGGTAAAAAACAAAATTATGGAATAATCTTATTGATTAAAATACTTTGCTTTAGCAAAAATGCTCAAAGATGTCAATTTTCTTTTAAAAAAATACACAATTTTCAACTTTTTGGTTTTTAAGTATAATGACGTCAATATTTTTTTTTAATGGAAACTCCAAATTTTTTTTAACCAATTTGATACATCTTTCTTTCAAATGTCGAAATGACAACACCAAAATATTAAATATTACATAAAGTTTTTGAAAACTCATACAAAAAGTGAAATAATATCAACAAAAAACAAACACAATTTTAAATCAAATTGAGAATTTTGTATTTTTAAAAAATACAAAAATTTTTTTGTCAAAACTAAATATTTTCAGTTTTAATAAATAAGATTATTCCATCACTGTATATTTTTCGACGTTAATTGATTGAGCAGACATCTAATCAGAATCGAATATTCTTAATTTCCCATTCTGGAATGTATTTCAAAACTGATCTGTTATTTTCTCTCTTTTTTCATCTTGTAGAAACGGTAAAAGAATGTCTTTGTCCTACAGTAGGTTGTTAGAGTTTTTTTGAGAAGGGACTAAATTGTTGATAATTGTCCCTTATTTTAATCCTGTCTGTGTATGCAATGTGTAGTCTTTTTGCAGCTTGGGCCTCCATGACTTAAGCTCCGTCCCCCGATGCATAAATCAGCCCCCCCTGACTGTAATGGACCAATCCAAATGAGTGAAGTGTCTATGATAGACAATAAAGCGTGGAAATGTTCGGAGGCGAACAACGGCTACCTAAAGCAAAAAAGCGTTCCTGAAGAGTCGCTCCTCGGCTCCACCGCCGTGACGACCGTCGTCCAAGTCTCCGGGACCGGAACCAAGACCATGGTGGTGCCCCGGAACAAACAAGCCAAAGACAAATGCCTTGTAGCGGCCGTTTTCGCACTCATCATTTTCTCTCTAGTCTTACTTTTCATGGTGTTCAGCACTCGCACCCACCAATGTATCGGTATGTAGAGCTCTATATTTAATTGACATTTCGAAATGGAAACACTTCGGTGATGCCTTTAAAACACGTATGTCGAGCAAATGGAAGCCGCTAACGTAATTTCGTTAAAGTGGAGTAGGTACACGAGTTTGCATAATGGCAATCGATTATTCAGCAAGCGGCGAATTTATTTACTTCGCATCTTGTTGACCGTAATTTCAATCAAAATTAGGCGGTTATAACCGCAAAACGCCATCTTTTGACTACTTTTCAAACTGAAAACGATCAAGTGTCAAAATTGCTAAACCTACTGCGATTCTTTTTGCAAATATGCTTCAAACTTGCAATTCTATTTGAAATTCTGTGATAATAAAACCGTGTCAGGTCCCTCGAGGAGTATTCTTTCGGCATCCGTAGCTCGAGTCTACGTTTTATTATTCCCTAGAACATCTCGAATTTTCTCTACAACTATAAAGCCTCTTTATATCGCAATACCGAAATTCGAGCGGTAATAATTCAACAAGATTTCGACACTGACAACCAGTCGGACGTTTTGCAATTGTTTCAGCTTCAGGGAGATTTTTTCTGATAGCCGTGGCCCCAATTAATCATTTCTTTTTTTTACAGATAGCAGAAGTAGTGTTTGTCTTACGGAGGAATGCGTGAGGACAGGTAAGAAAGTCTCCAAGTATGAATTCCGGTTTTCAATTAATTATTTTTTCTCTCATGTTTCAATATTTCATTGTTATCCGATAGTCATGTATCGATTTCCTTTAATTTCCTCTTCACTCCAACCCTGAATAATGTAATTGCCSAAGTTATTATTATAAAAACCTGATATTAAATAAGTCGTTGGGGTGAATTTAGTGCTAWATTCRGGCAAGTTTCATTGAACCAAGAGCTTGAAATAAATTGATTCGGCTATAATTTATCATAAATCATGTAAAAAAATCCTATAAATAGCTAGAACAACAGAATTTCTCACAAACTTCTACACTTGAGAGCATTTCGAAGGGTTTTATCGTAAATTGGATGCATTTGAACAATTATTTTTAAAAGTCTGTAGGTACTCAATAACTTCAAAAGTCCGTTATCCAAAAGAATAATAATCTACAATCAAAATTTCATACTAATGATAGTAAAAAATTGAGATTTAGTTCTCTTAAATAAATTTTCTACTTCATTTCATTTATTGCTCATTACACATTACAAAAATAGAGCTAAATTTTAATTATTTTTAACAAACAGTTAAATTAATCTATACAGGTGTCCGGAAAAAAAGTTGAAAGATTTTAGGAGTGGTTCCATATAGCTCAAAATACGAAAAAAAGGTCCTATAGACCTTAGTCTCTAAAGCGATAAATCAACCTTATATGAAAAAACTCCCTGCATGGGTTGCTTTTCGGAATTAAGGTCGGTGCACGGTTTAAGAAAACCTCATTTTTCTCGAAAATGGTGCGATTTACTAAAATAAAAGACATTTTTTGRAGAAAATTAACCAATACTTAAATCTAAATTTGCCAAAAAAAAATAAAAATCTTCTTCCAAAGCAAAATTTTACACCTTAACTCTAGATTGGTACACAATTTTTGATATCACCAATAAATTCAGCGTCAAAAAATTACTTCTTAGAAACCTTTTTTCTTATTTTGACCCAGGAAACCGCGCCCCGATGTTTTTCAACGTTTTTTCTAAACACCTTGTATACATTAAAAAACTTAATCTCAAATTTATTCATTTACAAAAAGCTATTAAAATTTAAATTCATTCAAGAAACGACAATTTAGCGTTTCATATTTTTTTAAGCGTGACTTCGCCACCGTCTTTATAAAAATCTACATATTCAAGTAAGATTTTAAATGAGTCTTTCAGCACTGAAATGAGTCAAATGAGTTTTTAACCGTCTACCTTCAAAACATTAAAAATGTTAAAAACTAAAAATATGTTTTGCGATTTGACTTGTTTTGGTCATTGACACCGCTGCCAACCTTTTAAGAAAAATTGTTATACAGGCTGTCCGTTTTTCGATCTCCACCATGGGGATCTCAGTTACTATAAGAGATACGAGGTCGGTTAAATTAGGGTAAAGTTGACATTTTTATGCCAAACAATTATCTAAAAGAAAATTGAATGTGTAATTTTTAGTTTCTTCGAAATTTAGTTAGTTAATCAAAATTATTGGCGTCTTTTCCAAAGCACTTTACGCAAAAACACATTTTCTTAATTTGATGCATGTGAAATTTGATCATTTGTTATAATCAGGAACAAAAAGACTCTTCAAAAATACACAAATCGAATATGGCGTCCATAAGAAAATCCAAAGTTGAATGTTGTAACTCGGATGCCAAGAACGTCTTGGAAAATACGATGACAGATTTAGATTCCTGAAAAAAAAGTGTCTTGAAAATGTCCTAGTTAAAAACGTCTAGGTTTTTTAGTTTTGGCTTGAAAAAAAATGAAAACGAAAATTACAACTTTCCGTTTTTTTTTCCAATAATTCAAAAACTAAAACTAAGACATTAAATTTTCTTTGAAATAATTGTTCAGCATAAAAATGCGCAACTTTGCCCTAATTTAACCGACCTCGTATCTCTTATCATAACTGGGGTCCTTATGGTGGAGCTCGAAATACAGACAGGTAGGTAAGAGCATTTATTTTGAAGTCAGTGCTTAAACAGTCAAATTTTAATTGTTAAAATTGTAGAACTCGATCCATTTTCTTCCCAAAGTGGATGTTTTATAGTTTTAAACAGTAAGTAATATTAAAGTCAACTCCACAAATCGATAAATTTTATCATCAGCCATTGAAAATTAAAATTAAAAAAGCAATTAAAATTGTTAAAAGTTAAGCTGATTAAATGTCGCCAAAGAATATTTTTTCATTCATTTTAGAATCTTATAGAATGTTCTCCTTTGTGCATTCTAAAACTCACAAACCGCACAATTGCCGTCCCAACCGCAATTCCTTTGACCCTCCCGGAACTTCTTATCCGAAGTTTCATCTTTAATCAAGAGAACTCCATTTTGTACAGATATGACAATATTGTTCCTGTCGTAAGGTTTGCACCCCTGAGGATGACGATTCCGCGTTCCAATTTACTTTTTTCATCTGCTCGCCGGCTCTAAATTGCTAAAGTTTTTTGCCTCCGCAGCCTCGTCCTCAATTAGTCTAATCCCAGTAATTAGCCCTTGATTAACAAAACCTRACGAATTCTAATGCATACGTAGTCGCGTGTTTTGCGTGACTTCCTACATAAATTTCTTAAGTCGAGGGGTAGGATAAAATTTCCCGTGGCGGTATAAAAATCGTGGATTTTTCCCCGCTTGGTCTAATTTAAATCGACAGAATTTAATTTCCTACCCGTAAAATCGCATAATAGAATTACATTACATTTGCGGGAAAGTCATTTGCGTTTGCGCTAATGAGAAATTCTGCCGCATCGAAACTATTTAGTCTCGGTTACGGGAACGCTAATGGACACAAATGGGATTTTTATCAATGCAGCGACTGATAACGCGAATATTTCGCTCATTTCCGGCCGAGGAAAGAAAAAATTAATTCTCCACAATTGTAAAAAACTTAGAAAAAAAAACGAGCTAAATTGAGAAAACAGTCCCGAAAAATAAAGTCACTTTTAATCTAATTTGGTGATTCTTCACCTTATTCTAACAAAAAACTTAATTGTTTGAAAAAGACATAATAAACATTATTTATGTCTGAGAAAACACCTAAAAAGTCAAAAGTAATGTTAATAATTTTTTTATCTAAATTGTTAGCTTTTCAGCTTTTTTGATAAAATCTCGCTTATAAAATGAACTAAATGTCTCTTTCTCTGTTTATTTTTTTTCCGTTTTTGTGTTTTTTTTTTTAAATTATTTTTATAAAAAATAAACATGTTTTGTCATAAATTGTGACAATCATCAATACTAAGTCACTATACAGGGTGATTTTTGTAGAGCTTACAGTCAACTTCTAATATAGTTAAATCTTTGAAATTTTGTATAGTATAACTAAAATCGACCATTTTCAATTCAAGTAAATTACTATGCGAAATTGGCGCCAACTTTGAAATTTTACATGAAAACCCTCTATGTTATCGCATTTTTAAATTTGCTTTTTTAAACTAAGTAAAACGTATTTAAGTTGTAGGTACTTACCTGCTATACTTTTTCACATTATGTCAATGTCAAAATCTTGAACCCTTTGAAATAAGTAAATATTTTTTTTTGCTTTGGATAACTAAATGTTTGAAATCTTTGAAAGTAGTTCAATATTGCCAACTCTCAAATTTCAGGGCTAATATAATTTTTTGAACAAAACAGTTTTAAAGAATAACGCCTCACTTTTAATTTAATTTGGTAATTTTCCCCCTTATTTTGACAAAAAAACTGAATTTTTAGCTTAAGGACATGCTTATGTTTGAAAAAGACACAAACGACATATTTTTTTTACCTTCTTTAAGCAGAATTTTGGAAAAAGCACTAAAAAAAACACCTGGAAAAGTCAAAAATAATGTATTTTTTGACTAAATCTTAAAATAGTAAAATAGTGATTTTCTCTCTTAAAAATGACCTGCGTCAAGCAAAATTAACTAAATTTGATTTAGTCTGGTAATTTTTCAATTTGTCTGAATTTAATTTCTTGTGAAAATGAGTTTTTGACTGAAAAGTGAGTTAAAAACAATCGAAAAAAGCAAATATAAACTCATTTTCAATATAATTCAGTGATTTTTCGACGTAGTTTGCTAAAATTTATTTAACAAAAGTGATTTCTGACACAAACAAATTGTTTTCATTTACGAACAAAACAAAAATTAAACTATTTTTAACCTAATTTGGTGATTTCTTCCTTACAAAAAAATGCGCATTTGTCTAAAAAAAAGCAAAAACAGTTTTCAACCTAATTTGGTGATTTAATACAACAGAAATTATTGCGAATTTAGCTAGTTTTTTTTTAGAGCCTCCTGGTATGACTTTGTGTTCTATTTTATTACTGTAATAACCTATACAACAAGTAAATAAACATAACTGTTTTTGTTTTTTTAGTGTGACTTTGCTTTAATAATTTCTTTATTAACTAATTAACTACAATCGGAAGTGAGGTGATTAAAATTTATTAGTTTATAGTTTTACTTCTGTGCACCTAAGGGAAAACTTTAAGTAAAAACGACTAAAATAAGCTTTTTAAACAATAGAAGTGTTAATTTGTATTATTTATAAATAAATTGGTAATCATCTGATATTCTCTTAAAAAGTCAAAATTCAAAAATATTGTGATTTTTAAAATTTTAATTATATATAGAAACTGTGAGTATTTTCAGTTTCAAAAAGTTGGGTAAATAACAAAAAACTACTTTAAAGGTACACCAACTTTTAGCAAAAATAATGGATTCGTTAAAACTATCGGTTCTACGAAAACAAATTGATGAAAAAATCTCAAATCTCGCCAAAATTTTTAAAATTCTGAAATTGTTTTGGCCAGCGGCGTCCCTTTTGGGCGCCATGGACCACACGGCGGACCCTTGCGTGGACTTTTTCCAATACGCCTGCGGCACGTGGAACAAGAAGCACGTGATCCCTGAAGACCGTAGTTCAATCAGCACGTTCGAAGTAATGGCAGACCAGCTCCAGGTCATCCTCAAAGGCGTCCTCGAGGAGCCCATTAACCTCGAAGACAACGAGGCCACACGCAAGGCCAAAACCTTCTACAACACGTGCATGGATATTCGTAAGTCCCASACGACTCCACTTGAGGGCCAATACTATTTTCCTGTCCAGTCCAGATTCGGAAAATTGGAGATGCTCCACTCCGGSAGGTTCTRGACGGACTAGGAGGCTGGCCAGTGACCCGACCTGACTGGACTCCCCCCAKCTTCTCCATCGAGGTGCTTCTCGGGAGGATTAGGGGGGTGTACAATGAGGGGGTTCTCATCGAGCAGTGGGTCGGTCCGGATGACAAGAACAGCTCAGTTAACATCATCCAGGTGCGCACAAAGTAAGAAGTAGGAGACCTGGTGCCCAATCTGACCCGATTTGAACTCTATTGAGATTTTATAGTGAYGAATTTTTCTCCTCAGATGGACCAAATGCAGTTGGCGTTGCCCAGTCGAGACTACTATCTCAAAGCAAGTAGCGAGGGCGACATGACTGCTTATCACAAGTATATGACGAATATTGCTGTTCTTCTTGGTGCCAATAAAACAACAGCTAAGGAGGAACTACAAGAAGTTGTCGATTTTGAAAGAAGATTGGCGAATGTGAGTCTGATGATTACGTCCGGTTCCGGTTTAAAACCTCAAGTTTTAGGCCTCGTTACCGGAAGCTGACCGCCATGACACTTCCGCCATCTACCGAAAATTAACTCTACAAGAGTTACAAACGATCGTCCCTCAAATCAAGTGGTTGGAATACCTCCGATCCTTCCTCGATGTCGACATCGATGACCAAGAACCCGTCGTTGCTTACGGACTTTCCTATTTCATCGAAATGGGAAAAATCCTCGCCGAGACAAACCAAAGGTGACTTTCACTTCCCTCGAAGCCAAAATCAATCCACTTTTGCAGAGTTATCCACAATTATGTCTTGTGGCGTCTCATTATGTCCCTGTCACCTCACATGATTGACGATTATCAGAAAGAACGCGTCGAATTTAGAAAAATCCTCCAAGGAGTGCTCAGTGAGAGGCATCGATGGTCCCAATGCGTCGAATGGACCAATAAAAAACTCGGAATGGCTGTTGGAGCACTTTTCATCAGAGACAACTTCAATCACGATAGCAAAGTACAAAATTTCCTTTATTTGAGCCAAATTGAGTTGTCTTCTTACAGGAAACTGCACTTACGATGATACATACGATTCGAGAGGCGTTTAACGAGTTGTTGGCTGAGAATGATTGGATGGATGACGAAACGAGGGCCGTGGCCAAGGAAAAAGCAGACGCTATGAACGAGAGGATTGGATATCCGCAGTTGATCACCAACAAACAGGAGTTGGTCAAGGAGTACTCCTCGGTAAGTGACGGCCAATCACGAGGTGACGCGTAGTGAGAGGCGGGGCCAAGTTGGGCRCCAAATTCAACAGATTTTTTGCTTTGTTTTAGTTGAATATCACCAAAACTGAGTTCATGACGAACGTTTTGAATATTTTAAAATACGATGCGGAGCAAAATCTGCAAAAATTGAGACAGTCGGTCGATAAAGACAAATGGTCGACGGAACCGGCGGTCGTTAACGCCTTCTACAACCCGAACAAGAACGATATTGGTGAGAATGTCCTTCCTCTTGTGAAATCTTTTTATTTTCCGGTTTTTCATTAGTGTTTCCTGCCGGTATCCTGCAACCGCTGTTCTACAGTCAGCATTTCCCCAAATCTCTGAATTACGGCGGAATTGGAGTGGTCATAGGTCATGAAATAACGCACGGGTTCGACGATAAAGGTAAGTTTCATGGGCGCCGACTTTTCCTATCTTCAATGGGTGCATAAACAAAAAATGCAGGACATGAGAACAATTACACGAAAAAACGATTTCTTCTTCCCTATGCTTGCTGAATTTATTGTATTTAATATTTAGAAAATTTAAAAACAATATTATTTTTTGTGTAGTACAAAAGAAAAAAATCAATAAATAACATATGCAATAAAGTGTCAAGAAAATAGTATATGCTGAGTTGCAAAATGCTTCAAATTGTTGAGTTTTGAAAAATAATACACTACCTACTGTTAAATTAAAAAAATAATAATAAAATCAGAAGCAATTAAAAAAAGGACTTTTTTTGAAAAGTATGAATGTTCGCAAATTTAGGCTGAATACCGTATGGGGGTAACAACTTTTCATTAATGTAATTAATTTGAGATGAGTAAAATTAGGGTATGCAAAAGCTAAATGAGTGGTCTCAAAAATTAGTCAGTATTGGATTTTGATTTTTTACATTTTCAAAAATTTAAAAATTCTTTCGAATATTTATTTTTCTAAATTTAACATGCAAAATTGTAGAAAAATGTAAAAAAACTGCTTTTTTCATTTTGACGAAGATTACACAATGTTCAGAAACAATTTTTTTGCTAAACTTTGATCAATCGGTCCGAGAAAACAATTTAGAGCTATTGGGCGTACATTAGGCTATAAAAAAACCTAGTAACATAATTATTTAGTCTCCTTATCAATATTCGTGAATACGCGGTAGATTTACTACAACAACAAAAAGTTGAAAGTAAAATTTTTTTTCGAAAAATCGTAAAAACATACTACAGAAATACATTGTCTGTGCGGTCATTGGTTGCCGAGATATCGAGGATCAAAGACAAAAAGGTCCTTTTTTATTAAAAATCAAATATCTCAGCGACAAGTCGACGTAAARAGAACATAAAAAAGCAAATTAAAGCTAAATGAACAAGTTATCCGGCTCGTGTATTGATTTAATTAATAAAAATTTTCTCCAAGTCCGTGGACCAAAAAAAAAAACGAATAAAAAAATACAATTTTTTTCTGGCTCTATTTCTTAGGATTACGTAAAAACTGTAGCTTAGAAATTTTTTTGCCAAAAGATTTCAAGACTAGAAACTTGAAGCTTTAAAACKGATTTTTTAAATTCAAATACGACCATTTTCCATTGAAGTACAATATTTCAAATTTCAAATCATTAAAAAATTTAAGAATTTTTTTGTTCTCTAAATTTTTTAGAATAGTAAAAGGTTTATGTAAAATGTTTTATCGTTTTGAAATTTTTGAGTTAATAAGAAATCCTTTTTCAAAGAGTTTTCACTAAAGAGCTTAATTTTGAATTAATTTGAAAAATGGGAAAACAGAATAACATAAACGACAAATTTAATCCACTTTCTCGAAGGGGAAAACAGAAAAATAGAAAATTTAAGACATCTTTGACACTAAAAGTGTTTTTAACGAATGCAAGATTAGCTAAAATACGAAATTCCAAAAATTATTAAGAGTTATTAGTTATTACTATTATTTTTTTACCTTAAGCAAGAGTACATTGTTTTCATACCACGCACCCATTAAAAAATTTCAATGGGTGCATCCGCCTTTATGCACCCCTGCAGTCGGCGCCCATGGTAAATTTCATCAAGTTTTCGTCTATTATTCAGAAAATTTCCGCAGGCCGGCAGTTTGATAAGGATGGAAATATGATGCAATGGTGGAACAACGCGACGATCCGGGCTTTCCGGGAGCGCACCCAATGCATAATTGACCAGTATTCGCGATACAAAATTGATGAAGTGGGGCTCTACGTCAACGGGCGCATGACCCAAGGCGAGAACATCGCCGACAACGGCGGACTGAAGCAGTCATTCCGGGTACCTTTTTCATTTTACCTTTTTTCAAAATCACTAAATGTGTTTGCAGGCATACCGTAAGTGGGTGTCCCAGCACGGGGAAGAGCCCGACTTGCCGGGCTTGAACCTGACCCACGACCAGCTGTTTTTCCTCAACTACGCCCAAATCTGGTGCGGGTCCATGCGCCCGGAGGACGCCCTGACCAAAGTCCGGTCCAGCGTCCACTCACCCGGACCCATCCGGGTGTTGGGCCCTCTCTCCAACTCGTGGGATTTCGCCAAAGCTTACGATTGTCCGCTCGGTTCGCCGATGAACCCGACTAACAAATGTAGCGTTTGGTAAAATTGGACTTTTCACGCGCTCTATGTCAAGTGTCTCGTTGTATTTGCTAAATTTAACACWTTCGTCTATATTATCGGGCCTTTGTAGCGGGGCCCCACACCTAACTTGTGCAATGTAAATATTATTGTTTTATATAAAAGTGTACGCAATTTTACATGTAATAAACCTACTTTCCTATTCTAAACATGGTCTGTACTAATATACAAAGTATGTATTTTCACATTATTACTGGGTGTACTGTTTATTAATAAACATAATTTTTAAGATACCAACACGAGCTTCTATCACCCGAAAAACTGTCAATCAAGTAAAAGCACTGATTTCCTTCATTTATAATACGTGCACAAAACATTGAATTTTGTATTCATAATTAATAAAATAAGTCAAATGTCGCCTTTGAGGTATGGGAGTGAAATAAAAAATGTGTAAATCGTTTATATTWTATTTTTTCTAACACTGTGACTGTACATCTCTAAGCACACATTAATAATATAATCATTTGTGTACTTAACAGTAATAGTAAGTGCTTGGGAAAGAACTAGCAAATTAAGATTAAACTAAAATTAAGGTTGCATATTACAAAATATCTCCTCCAGGTTAATTCCCTTGAGACAAGCTTAATAAAAAAATGAGCAGTCTTGGCAAAAACGAAACAAAAACCGAACTTTTTCACATGACAAAAATGAAACTAGTAACTAAACAACTCATCCTGAGCACCTCTCGTTCAAGAGCGTCAATTCCTATCTCTACCTAACCTAAACTGTAATGATGTAAAAACCTCGACAATTCTTACATCATCATAACATCTTATTAAAAATTAAGATACTACAAAAATTCTGAAAACAGAATCATAATATTTATTGTACAACTGAATAAAAAAAACTTGAAACCAGTTGCAAGAAGTCTTTAATACACACACTGACAATTTGGCAACACTGCGTGGCCAGAAATCGATCAACATCAAGATCACATAAATTGTAGATTCTTCTAATTTTGCAAGTACCATGCCAGTGTGTTTAACTGTATGTTAGACTCTGAGGAACCCCATTCACAGTCTTCGATTTGAGGATGTCGTTCTCGTACGTCATCACCGTCTCCCTCCCGTTCTCGTACACCCTGAAACACGCAAAATCACCAAAAATCACCCCCAAAAAATCTACTTACTTCTTCGTGGTGATCTTTTTCCCGTTGGCGAAGCGCGTCGACGTCGACGTCCTTTTGACGTTAGCTGTGCCCCCCGCCCCGTTCGTAAACGTACTATTTATGGTACTGAACGAAGTGAACCCCCCATGGCCCGTATTGAAAAAATCGTCCATGAAACTACCCCCCAGACTCACCCCAAACGGGCTGAATAAACTCGAACTGAGCGCGTTTTGCGGATGCGAATGCCTATTCCGTCGCCGATCTCTATGTCCGTGATCGTGAAAATCTGCGAAGCAAATTTAGCAAAAAACACAAAAATAACCAAAAGACGTACCTCCGAATAAGTCGGCGAGKGTCGAACCCCCGAAAAACTCCCTGAAAACGTCCTCCGGGTCTCTGAAAGTGAAGAAACCGAAACCACCAAAGTCRAATTCGTCWTCGTGGCGACTGCGACTACGACTGCCACCGTTGATSAGCCCCTCTTTGCCGTACTGGTCGTACATTCGACGCTTTTTGTCTAGAAAAAAATACCACAATGAATGGGGGCTAAAACAGAGAGAAAAAGCGAACAGACGAGTCCTCAGAATCGTTGTAGACCTGCACTAAGAGGGCAAAAAAAACTAGAGTTAAAAAATCGCAAGTATTAGTTGGAAAAATGCAAAACTAGTCATTTTAGTAGTACAGGCCGGGATTTTAAAGCCAATGTAAAAATTTATTACAAATGTCCAGAAAATTAAAGTGAGTTTTTAACTCCACTAAAAATTAATGACGTAATTAATTGGCCATAAATACTAAAAATTGCATAAAAAACACATAGAAAAAATGTGGCGCACATAATCTTTGCATTCGTTGGCTATATGAAACAATAAACTAAAAGAAATAATAAAAGTATAAGTAAAAGAAAAAGTATTTTGAAAAAGAAACCTAGTTGTCAACGTCAATATTTTTGATATTTTAAGGTTTTGAGCAAATGCGTTCATAGCATATAATTTTTTAAACCTGTGAAATATTTTATGAGTCAATAGCAACGCACAACTGAACATTATAGATAATAAAAAATAAATAGAAATAGTAACTCATTAGACATTATCGTTGTTATCAATTTTGAAATTGTAAAGTGTCGAAAATCCAACAAATGACTATCTTTCTATTGTCTACACTCAGAAGTTGAAGTTTTAAGATGAATAACAATTTCAAATTATTGCAGATACTGTTATTAAATTCAAAAAATGTTTAGTGCGACATATTTTTAAAATTATTTCATTCCAATTCACAAAGCTCAACTCGAAATATGATTTTTGGACATTTGTAATAAATTTTGAGCATTTTTGTTATTTTGGAGTGGAGAAAAGGGCCCGTTTAGCACACTTTTTTGTATCTACCGAAATAACGATGAAAGGGGGTATGAGTGTCAAAGTGACTCCTGTAGGACCTCGTTCTTGTACTTGTAGACCTATTCGAGCGGTTGTCGTAAATTTTTCGTTTCGAATCTAAATTACCCGAAAAAAACCAAAATCAAAAGTGGAACCTAGACACGTCCAACAGAGTGTGTATACAAATCCGAATGAACTTACCGTCGGAAAGTACTTCGTACGCTTCGGAGATCTCCTTGAACTTCTTTGTGGCCTCCTCGATGTTGTCTTGGTTCTTGTCGGGATGCCATTTTAGAGCCAATTTACGGTAACTGCAATTGAATGTTTAGGACGTTTTGGAACTCAGATAAGGATTAGGACTTACGCTTTCTTAATTTCTGCTGTCGTTGAGTTTTTTGACACCTCGAGGACTTTATAGTAGTCCACCATTTTGGTGCCACTGGCGTCCTTATGCCCCAGCTTTACGGAAGATTACTGAAACAGAACAAAACTTCTTATCTCTCATTTAAATCATCTGATATGATTAGATTACCGTCGAAACAATACACATCAGAAAAGCAGCAATGAGAAATTTTATGACAGTCGTATCGAAACGACTCGCAATTTTGAATTTTGTCACATAGCACTCTCGATCAAAATTACAAATTCAAATCGAAATGGGAGCGTTCCGAATCAATCACTGACCGCTTTTTCACCGTAATAATAGAGATTTCATAACGCGGTTCCACTAGAGTGAACACGTTTCACGATTATTATCGAAATTGTTTTGTTTATTTCGCACAGATGAAGGTTCTTGTTAAAAATCGTCTAATTACTTTTATATAACAGTACGCAACACGACCCTGAAGRTACTYTGACGCGAAAGAGAAAGAATTCGCTTGTTTGATTATTTAGAATATCATAATTACCAACCTAATGACTCACTGCTTTGCATGCACATTGCAGACTTTCGCTTTCAAAAGTAGCGCCCAAAGGGCGCCACCTACGGGTCAATGACTCGTAATTACAATGCCAGGTAGTTTACACAAACGATTCCGCGTTTTTGGTGGAAACAGACTCATTAAATTGGCAACAGTTAGTTGGAGCGTTTTTGGGTACACAACCGCAAACAAGCTTGCAAATTACTAACGTCACAATCTGACTACTTGTAAATTAAACCTCAAAAAATGATAAGTCACGACTGGAGAATAATGAAATTATTTTTAGAAATTGTTATAGTTGAGGCAATTTGAAGGCCAGTTGGTGTGACTGCATGATGCGTTTTTAATAAGTTGGTGCAAAAGTATCGTCTAGGAGACACATTATGTAATGTTTGTCATAATGTCATGTTTCATGACCTTCTTGGTTGTAAATGATAGCAAGTCGTGTCATGGTACCAAACTGGCGCCTAAAATCCCTAGAAACTTTGTATGGTAGTCACGTCTACCAACAAAATCTTTGTCGGCTCGCCCATTGTCCAGCAAAACAATGATCGTGGAAGCAAAGAAATTGCAAAATAACGCTATAAGAACATTCTTGCACCTATTGCATAAGTCTGTAGGTGTCTCGACGTCCTTCGTCACGTTTTAATAAAATTTTGTCCCATCATCAGTTCGAAATCGAGAGCTGGACTACCCACGACGTCCATTCGACCTTGACGGATGGACCAGTGACTTAACGAGGTTATCGATCGCCGATTCCATTGTCTAACATCTAATTAACACGGGAAAATTGCTAAACAGCGTTGATGAGTCTTTAAAAAGGACACGTCATTTACTGTTATCTCAATTCCTAGGTTTTGTTCTAGGTTTCGTCAAATTTCGCAACAGACTTATTCATTAGGATCCGTTATACTATGATTTCTGCATTATTCATAATACCCACGATTATCTATCGAATGGCGGCAGGTTTCCAAAAACTACACCTTCTTAACGTGACTCAACCGTGGGTTCGCGCAACCAAAATGTGATTTTTTCGAAAATTCCAGCCTTAACCTCGATCAGGTTTTCTTCACTCGTCAACCCGTGAGATCATGCAACGATTTTAGTTAATCTAAACAAAAACTTCAAGCTCTATAACTGGCTAAAAATATTTTATTCAGACAATTACAAGAGTCTGACCGCAATACTATCGCCGAAAATAGATACGAATTCCTCCAAGTRCAAGCGAATTTTTTCATTTTCAACACTAGACCTGTTAACGAACCGAATTAGAAGAATTGAGAGAAGCGGACCTTGAAATTCATTACATTAGATTAGATTCAACGACTTGATGTTTCGAATTTCTGGAATATCGAATGTTATAATATGGGTGTTCAAAGTTCAAACAATAAAATAAAATAAATTAAAAACTCTTCCGTTTTCATTTCTTCAGAACCAAACCATAATGATAGGTTTTTACACCATTTGCAGGAAAAACCATAGTAACACATAGTGAGTGCATAGACATAACAGTTGTTTCCATAGTTTCCATATTTGTGGATCACGTGACATAGGGATTTTCTTGACACAGGTTGCCCAAAACCAAAAATTYTTCTTGTGAAATGTCAATTTTGGAATCAGGGCTATAAATACATGGTTTTCGCTCATTATCAAGCATAAACRTATTRAAAATCATAAGTGACTGTTACCGGATGTTGCAATCTAATATATGCATGTCGTCGAAACAATACCTGCATAACATTTCCGGATAAGGTCTGACAACCTACAAACATTTGGTAACATAATCTGGTAAAAAATGCAACGGTTTGTTTGAAATTTTTATTACATTCGCTCTTTGTTGGCCAAGGGGCCCGAGACTTTCCAATTTGTTCAATCTAGTCTCTCTGAGTCCATTGTTGAGTGTCAACAGTCTGAATCACTTGATTACTAAACAGGACATGCCTAGTGATAAAACGACTTCAAAGCACTTCTGTTTTATGTTTTTTCTCTATGAAATGAATGAGAGCCAGGCACATTCTCACATTATGCAACTGTTTGTAAATAACTGCATTTTTTCACCCGATTCACCTTCCCTCTCCTCGAAAGTGAAACTAAAATAGTCGGAAAATTTTAATTGGACAACCGTTGCAAAACGATATTCAATCTCGATAATTCACACTTGGAGGAAGAAAGTGTATTTGTGGTAAAACGAGGAAAAAGTTAATTTGACGCTATTATCGGTGTATTAAATTTCTTTGTCCCAGAGAACAATAGAATGCATCCACCCAACAGTGGAAAACAGCAAAATCAGGTATTTCGTCAAGGCCAGGGCATGAACTCTACACTTGGCCCCCGGCGAGTTTCTCTTCGGATCATCGGTAGCTGCGTCTGCATTCAAGTAGAAAGATAGACGATAAACATGATTTGGTGACAAATATTGCGTGTTGGGACATGGGACATCAAGGAGTGGCAGGGTTTAACATCCTCGAAACGAGTTTTCTTGCAAAAAGTGTGAAAAATAAAAGACACGATGTGACTCGCATTTTATTCGTCAAGGAAATGAAACACAAACTTAAAATAAGTCAAAATTCTTGCCAACATTACAAGATGAAAAGTCAATGTTAGTTGTACCAGTTTGGGGGACCTAAATATACTTCAAACAAGATTTAAAAAATCGCCTTGACTCGGGTTTGTTTTCTAAACATTGGGCAATTTTCGATACTAATTAATTGCATCAAATGTTTGTAAGTGAAGACCCTGGCTTTCAACAGTGTTGCAAACCACATAAAATCAGATTCAAATCTATTATTCAAATTAGAAATGAAGTGTAGGCTCTTCCTCTAATTGCATGTTTCACAATGGAAAAAACCACCCACCAAGTCTCGTCTTCTTTAGGAAGTTGGCTTTAATATTAAATGTCACTTGTCAATTTTGACACTTCAGAGAATCTTTTGTTAATCATTAATTCAGGTGATGAACTCGTGGACGTYTCTGATTTCCTCGAGTCCAAAATAACTTTGTTCTTATGACATGATATGGCCACTTGCCATTAAACAAAAACGCATCGGGTGGCAGATGCAGACAGTCTGTGACGTCACAGGTTATATACCAGTGGAAAACACAAACAATGCAATTAATTTATTATTGTATTTTGATTCTCGTGCGTCCTTCTCTTTAATAAAAACAATCAATTGTGAAAAAAGAGAGACCTTGAAGTCAGATCAGGGTGGTCTTGCCTGGCATAAGGCGAATTTTCCGTTCGTTTTCCGAACGGCCTTGACCGTAACGCCCGTAGAAGACTTCGAGAAGTGTCCGAAAAATCAATGCTTGCGTCGAAAAAACGTCTTTTGGGTAAATATAGCCGCGAAAACATAAATGAGTTATGATTCTAAAATAAATACGAGCGTAAATACACCAACCTGGCCGTTTTTTCGCCCCCCTGGAACGAGATTTCGAAAGAACGGTTACGTCAAGGTTGCCAACAATTTAAATAAAAAAACTATCGATTTGTGACAAATGATTTTTCTACCGGGTGTAACACGTACCTTTGCCGGACGGGAAAAAACGTTTTTCCTAACGTTAGATAAATCACAGATCACTTTAGAAGATCATCCATCACTGTAACACACACTTTTMAGCACAAGTTGATTAATATCACATGCACATTTATCAGTTGTCTACGACCAAACAATCGCACACACACGAGCCGACTTCGATGCTTGTGGACAAAAGCCGATATTTGACGCAGTGAGAGAGAGGAGGAAGGCAAAAAGGAGGGAGAGATAACAAGCGAACGGTAGCGCATGCGCCTTGATGGCACATACGAGACCAGCTGTTCGATATTTTGCTATCGGATCGAGTGGTTTGGGACTTTTTTGACAATTTACCGAGAGATACTTGGCTCCSATTCGAGAATTCCAGATTTTGATGGAAAACAATTGATTTATTTTAGGGTGACCCCGACAAGGTCATGGGTGATTCCTCTAAAAATTCCACTTACTAAAATTAATAATCAATAAATTTACAATAATATACAAGGTGGCCATGTCATTGAAAATTTTGCATTTACTCTGCGGTCCCCGCGCCGATTTATTGCCAACCTAAATTCAAATAACAAAAAACATATTGGGGGTATTACAGCTGTCACAACCAATGTCACAAATAATTTTTTTCTCTCAGTAACACATATTTCTTTGTGTCGAGAATTTCTTTGTTCATTCGCATTACTTAACATCCATACATACTCTACATACCATTTGGTTCATGATGCGATTGTTATTACTTTGAAAAACGACCCATAATTGAGATACTTTCTCACTTATTAAGTTAAATAAGCAGAAATACCAACATCCACAAGTGTCTTTTTTGTAGCAGTGATTATGTCACAACTTCGAAAATTTGGCAAAAGCAACAAATAACTCGATTTTAATGACATTCACTGTGGGCGATTTACTAGCATACATTTCACTTTTTACCCCAAATATTGTTATACAGTGCRATCAAAAAGTCTTTCTATCAAGTAGGCGTCCTAGTTAAGGACGTACGTTGCATGGCAGTTCGTATGTTATCTAGATGTCAAAAAATTATTTTATAAAAATTAAACATTGAGCTAATTAAATTGAATTATTCTATGAAACGTCTCAAAACAAACAAAAATAAGATTTTTCATAAAAATCGTTCACCACGGTTTCCTGTCATAATTTAGATAAAAATTATTTTGACATTTCTCATTTGTCATTGTGACATTTTATCTTCCACAGACATATGTTTTAAATTTCTACGCTTGCTTGATAGACAGACTTTTTGCTCGCACTGTAGTAAACGTCGTGCCATTTCAACCGCCATTCTGACACTTTTCAAAACGAGTTTTCGGTATGAAATAGTAGAGTATTTTGACCACAAATTTATTAGAAGGGTTCATTTGTTCCACAGAGTTTTCTTTCACACAGATATCAAATATTTGTGACCTATTTCAACTTAAATACAATTGCAACGTTGCAGAGTGTGACAATTGAAATGGCACGAGGTGTAGTACAGTTACGGAATTAAAATTTCGGGCAGTATTTTTCTGTCACTTCATAAAARTTCACTGTAAACTACCTTTTACTGTCATCATGACATTCATGACTGACATTAGACAGTGTCAGTGACGGTAAGTAAGTCAAARTGACATAAACATGACAAGAGTAAAAAATGAGGTTTGYAAAGGTTGTTTTAGAGTTTACATTGTGAAAATGACAATACTGCCCGAAATTTTAATTCCGCAACTGTATGTAAAGTCGCGGTCAATTCATAGTGGCCACTTCCCTGTGTAAATTTATAAAAATTCTGTTGTGTAAATCCGACTTTAAACATCCAATTGTTTTTTAGGGACATATCTATCAAAAATGACAATTTTGAAAAAGTCGGGTTAGTATACTTCACATATAAAATCTATTGCTCCTGTCACAATTGTTGACACAATTTAGTTACTTCAGCTACCAACATAGACACAACTCACAC